ACTCACTCACACAATCTCGGTTGGTATTGTTTTATAACAGTCACAGCCAGCCAAGTCAGTGTCATTTTCTTCACATTTTTAGTTTACTTTACTTAGTCGCTCTTCTACCTTGGAGTTAGAGGTTTGCCAGAGAGATCGCCGGATTTCTCTTTCAGCAAATTTGTTTCTGGCTTTGTTCCATTCCAGTCCTCTTTCAGTTAGAGCGGACCCTGGGTCTCAAAATAACCAATTATAATAATTATTATTATCATCACAGTTTTTCTTTTAATGCTGCATTATATGTCAACTCCCCCCTTTTCCGGTCTTTTTTTCCCCCTTTTCGTTTGTTTTCCCCTTTTCTCCCTGTTACCTTTCCCCTCTACAAGCCTAAGTCTTCATCCATAGTTCTAGCTTCGTGTCATTTTCTCATCTCTCTCTGTCTCTCTCTTTCTCTCTCCATAGCTGTCTGTGTTTCTTTTTGTTTCTCTCTTTGTATATCTTTTCTCTCCCCCTCCCTCCCCTCCCCCCAATCTTTGAGCCTTTCACCATTTTCTTTCTTCTGCAATCGCCACAACTCTCTCCTAGCAATACGCAAGGAATTGGAAAAATGTTCAGAATTTTGCCTGGCAAGTAAATTTTGGAAAAGCCTTGCTAACATGAATTCCAGGAAACCAAAAAAAAAAAAAAAAAAATCAAGAGATCATTTTTAAAATTCCTAATTACCGGGAATTATGTGTGTGTCGTTCAACAACACCGCGCCCGTACAGCCAGCGACCAACACCCGGTGACACAAAGTGCCAGCATTCGAACGAGGATCACCAGGACACAAGTTCCAGAAACCTCGTTTAACCGTTCAAAGGTTATTTTAGAGCCCCCTACTACAACCGTGGCTGTGCCTTAAAATAACGCAAAATGTCGTCCCACATTGAGACGGAAACTGATTTCATGAATTAGGGTGTCTTGTGAATAATACAAGCTCTAGTAACATTCCGGCTCGTTTTGTACAGATAGAAATTGTACTCGATGTCACTGGGCGGAGTTGATCAAAGAAGCATTAAACAAGTTAAAGTTGACTTATCTTCCTGCTCTTTGCCACACATCGCTAACGCGCACCAGCAGTAAGACAATAAGGTGTATGAGAAGAAGAAGACGAAATTGGCAATTTGTGACTATTTAATTAAATATGTGAAATAAATATTCCTATACTGACCATCGCTCGTGTAAAACAAAACACAGAAATATAAATAAGAAGATACAAATAAGCAATTTTTTAAAACAATTTCTACCATCATAATTACACCAGTAAGCTACTTTGACATTTATAAAATAAATCAATAAATAAAACTGTGAAAATGCAGAAAATGAATGACGGGGTAAATTATAATGCTGAAGAGGCACAAATCAGAAACGATGGCACCAAGAAGCAAGTGGAGATACGTTCAGGCATTATGTATGAACAACTAAAAATATTGTTTGATAATTTGACACGATTATCGCAGGGATAAACACCCACAGGGAGTAGCCGTGGCAGAACGGCTAGACGCGCGCAGCGGATCGGAAGGTCGTGGGTTCGTTCCCTAAAGGAGCCGGACTTTTCTTAAAAAATGACCTAAGCTCCTAGGTCGACCCAGCCTTTAGTATGTACCGGGTGCAGTCCCGGGAAATAGTGGCGGCCGGCGTAATGCTGACCACATCACCTTTCTTGTGCCGTTGGTCTATAAAATATTGGTCTAGCCCTATATGCCCTATACGCCTAAAGGCGTGGAAAAGAGTCCTTTACTTTATTTTTTTACTTAAACACCCACAAGAACTTTAACGCTTAACGTACACTGAGATCAATCACCAAACGATTTATTAGCGGATTATCTGAGGTTATACATACCGCAATAAAAGCGCATTGAAAGTCTCGCCAAATATATTTTGCAAACTATTTCCGTCGCAGCTAGAATAATGAGTTAAAATAATAACAACATAGAACAGAATGAAGGAAGTCGCTGTCTCGTATATGTTTTAATGTAACAAATATCTGTGATGATTTGGAGTAATAAACAAAGGTAAAGTGAATTGTTTGGTACAGAGTTCAAACTTAAATAGAGAGTTTTAGTTGAAGCTGAAAAGAAACAACAGAAGTCGGAAAATCAGCAACAGCAGCAATATTTTTCTTAGCATGTACCTGCTATAAACTCCAGAGGCAAATTTTGGTTGTTTGTCCACATTTGAACTTTAGTCTCGTCCTATAATGTGAGTTTTTCCTGCACTCGAATTTTACTGATCTTGTTAACTTGTATACAGATTGTTGGTTCCTATCATATCAGGTAGAGGCATCCCGATTTCCTAGTCAAACCCCTTAATTAATAGCCTTTTAGGACATGCTTGTCAGGGGCAGTGGTGCTATTCTTTTACCCCTGCTCGCGTCCACCCTCTCCAACAAATAGGGCACCAGAACCCACAAGATGACAACATAAATTATTTCAAAGTTGCGACTCATATTACAGTATACTAATGTTAGTAAAATAGAACATGTAGTGACCACTGGAAAGATCTGTGGAAGGAAAGATAGAGGAAGACAACGAGAGAAGATGCTTGACAGTCTTGTTGCATGGCATGGAGGTGTGTCTGCACAAAAACGGATACATGCTTCAGGAGATCGCAGATTATGGAGAGGCATGATCGCCCACGCCAGTCGCCAAGGCACCTGATGATGATGATGATGAATGTTAGTACATTTCCCCCGGGTCAGTCCCGTTTTCTGTGGGTTATGGCCGTTCCGTTGGTACTCCGTGAAAACGTCGATAGTCCCGCTCTATAAAAAAAACTAGGAGAAAGTTTGAGAATAAAACATTCACTTATTGTTGTATACCGTATTAGATTACATAGTCTTGGATACTTTTAATGCGTTTAAAAATTGCTAGATACTGAGGAAAACAATAGATTTAAAAATTAGGCATGCTGTCTAACATAAAGAAAAAGTTAAACAGGACAACGTACACATATACAAACTAAAAGGGAAAATATTAACTACGTGAGTGAAACCAATGATAATGCAATCCCACTAAATAAATGGTTAAAATACTGGATAATATACACATTTAAAAACTGAAAAGCAAACTATAAAGATCTAGACACTACCTTCGTACGTCTGGGAAGCTCTTCATCTGAGAAATTCGAGTATTAGTGAGATGTCCCGAGATTAGTGATATGTTTCAGCTCAAAATATTAGTTGCATGTCCTATTTTCAGCTCAAAATATTAGTTGCATGTCCCGTTTTAGCTGAAAATATTATGGTCCCCTAACCAATGTCCTCTCTGTTTTATGTTGTGCAGGTGTTGTTACCAGCGGCTACAGAATCCGTGCTGGTCTGTGGGTGGAGATTGGACGAAATTCTCCTCAGCTTCCACAGGTCCAGTTTTCCCTTATTGTTGAGTTCTAAAGTGTCACATGGTTGTAGGATGGCAAATGTCATCATCATCAGCATTATTATTATTATTATCATCATCATCATCATCATTCCCACTACAAGCACCATCATCATCATCATCATCGTCATTACCACTACCACCATCATCAATATCGTCATCACCACTACCACCATCATCATCATCATCCCCATCCCACTACCACCATCATCATCAGCCCCCGACGTATTTCATCGGGAACCGCTGTGGTGTAGCAGCTAGACGCAGAATCGTGGGTTCAAGTCCTGACGAAACCAAACGTTTATTTTGTTGTTTCAAAATTGGCCGCTCCCAGGTCGACCCAGTCTTAAATGGGTATCAAGTAAAGTCCTGGAAGTAAAGGCGGCTGGTATAATACCGACTACATCACATACTGAATGCCGATTAGTCTATAAAATACAGGTCTAGCTCTATACACACAACACGCCTGAAGGCGATTAAGACGTCCATTTCGTTACTTTGTGTTACGTATTACCCATAGCGGCGTCCGTGGCTAAGGCGTTGCGAGTCCGACTCGTAAGCCAGCATACCGCGATTGAAACCCACTGCAGGCTGCGTGGATTTTTGTCGTGGTATGGGGACGTCGCAGGTCGACCCAGCCTAAAATGGGTACCAGGATGGGCTGTCCTGGGAAATTAAAGACAGCCGGCGTAATGCTGACCACATTACCCACAGAGTGCTGATGGTCTATAAAAATATGGGACGCTCTGCCCATATGCCCGATGCGCCGAAAGGCGTAAAAAGGGTACTTTACTTTTTACTTACCCAAGCGCATTAAGTCTATTTACAATAAAATAAACAAACATTTTGTTGGAAATACCAACAAGCAAATCCAAATCCCAGCCAGTCCGTATGTTTTCTGCTGAACCATTATTTGTATATGCCATATTGCGCATCTCAGTAAAGATTTTTTTTTCTGTCAATTCGTAATGGTAGGCTGTATTAGTCTTTTTTTTAAAAATGTATTTCTTTTCAGCGCTACTATAACAGAGACTTTGTTTTTTGAGTGCAGGCACATTATTATAAAAACAATGCATGCTCTCAACAAATGTGAAGCTAACTCCCCGCTTTTTTTTTCATCTTGGAGAAACGAATAGAGGAATGCAACAAGGACTGCATGAAGATATTAATATAGTACCAAGTCGTGAGAAAAGTCTCTATACCAGCTTAACTGCTACCTATTCGAGGCTGAGACAATCCTGACGTCTTAAAAAATGAAAGCTCAGTCTTTCATAGATTCATGCGCAGCGTTAAAACAAAAAAGTATCACCACAACCATCAGGAGCAACAATAACAACAACAAAAAGCACTGTCTACAGTTGGAAAACCACTAAAGACGCAACGAAAGTTAAATGCATTCGATAACCATTGTCTGAGGAACATAATACTGTACAAATTCAAGAAACGTGAAGAAATAATAAAAATATCTGGGCAAACTCTAGTATTAACAGACATAAGACAGAGAAGATGGCGCTATGTTGGACACATCTAAGAAGAAACGAGCAGAGAATTATCAGACAGGCACTAAAAAGTATAATAAATGGGTTCAGGAGGTAGAAGGCCCAACAGAAACCCTAAAACAAACGTTGATGGGAGAGGCCAAAGTTGCTAGACTGGAATCTATCCATAACATTGAATGGATTGAAGAGGATAGAACAGAACAGATGATAGATGCGAGCCCTATTTGGCATGTAATAGACCAACAGAACAATGAATGAAAACCTCAACCACAATTGCTATTGTAACACAATTTTAAAGTTATAATATAATTAACTGTTCAGGTTGTTAGAATTACGGTGTTGTTTACTCAAAATATTTATTATATTTAAGGCATTTTATAAAGTGAGTAATCCTGGTATGAATATCCGACCTGGCGATGTCCTGGCAAGTCGATGTGTCATGAACAGTGTGTCACGGGACAAGGACACTATCATCGGGTATGGTTTACACCTAGTCACAACCAATGACGAAATGATAGACCCTTTACGTACTAATCTGCCTGCCTGTCAAAACCTACCTTGTGTAGATGATTACACACTGACCTACTTGCCAGTTTATTTATCTGCTTACCACGTACCTGCCTGCTTGGCTTTTTGTCTACTCACCTACCAGCACATCGACCTGTTATCTTCTACCTAACTACGTACTTATCTTTCTGCCTACCAACCTGCGTGTCAACATAATTACTTATATACATGCCTGTTATCTGTCTCTACATCCAACTACCTATTTACCTAACTACCTCTCTGTTTTCCTATTATTATACATACCCAACTACCTACTTATATGAGAGTAATAACACTGACAACCTATAGTGTTGCCTTTTTAAAATAAATGCGGATTGACCTTCTCTTAGGTGTCTTGTATTCCTGAGCCTTTAGCCTAGGAGGCTGCGTGGTCTCGGGGTATGGTGTCGGCCTCGAGTACTAGAGGTTCCGGGTTATATCCATGGTAAGGGCTGGGATTTTCTCACGTGGACTTGGACTTCTAGTAATTCCCCCTGGTCTCTGGGCAGTGAGATCGGACGCCCGTGTGCATTATTGCGCACGTAAAAAATCCCTTGACAGTTGGAAATCGTAAAGAGTAGCCTAACAGGGCAGCCCAGGCAAAAAATTGGAGATAAACATCTACCAAAAATATTTCAGGATCTTCGCTGGTGCTATGAAGCTCGTGCACTGCGCTGAGATTCTTCAGTTAAGTAAGAAGTAGAACGGAGCACTTATGGGTTACTACCCTTGTGTCATGATGTTGATCCGTTGTTCAAAACCTCAGTCTGCAAATAATGAGTATGCGAAATTGTACAAAATATCACAACAGCAGTTTATTCAGAAAGGGAAAGGAGTTTTGTGTGTGTGTGTGTGTGTGTGTGTGTGTGTGTGTGTGTGTGTGTGAGAGAGAGAGATAGAGAGACAGAGACAGAGAGAGTGTCATGAAGTGGCCTCAATTACGCAGTCTTATATATATATATATATATATATATATATATATATATATATATATATATATATATATATATATATATATATATATATATATATATATATATATATATATATATCCTCAAACCACTTAGTTAATTAAAAAAAATTCTAGAATATTTATGCACCACAGTAATATATGACGTGGTACTTAAATGTGGTGTTTTGGATTCAACCTATCTATGGTAAGTGTGGAAAAATGTAAACGTCACCCCTTGCCGACACCTCAACCTAACCACGCATTCGTATTGATAACACCTTGGGGGAAAGGACAACATCGGAGAGTTTGAAAATGAAAAAGAAAGAATCTGCTTTTTTTGAGACGATAGAAGAAGTGTAATCCCAATTCAAAAATATCGAAATTCTCGTTACCATCGTGCAAGAAGCAACCATCAGAAACAACGTAAGACAGCAATGAACATCAAAGATATCGAGGAGGGAAAAAAAAGGTGACATTGAAATCCATTTAGAGAAAATTCTGAACAGCAATCAATTCAGAGGTCGATGAAGTAAATATTAAGATGATTAGAAGAAAATGTATAGAATAGAGAAACATTTATAGAATTTGTTTATTTTGAAACCTAAAGTCCTATCTGAAATATTGTGTGGTCACTATTGTTAGAAATAAACTAAATTTATGATTTACAAGATGTGTAACCATAACTAAAGAAAATATCAATTAAATGTTTCTATGAATAATTCTAAACGTTCGAGAAATAAATATCATCGTGTGTGACCATGTGTCGTTATGATAGAAAAAAACCACATTATCAGTGAAAGTTTCTTGGAGGCAGTACATATAAAAGCAAGGTCACCCTAGTTAGGTAAATAGCCCACGACTTATCTCTATTATTGACGAAGAGACTAAAGCCGACCACGTAATTCCTTGCTTCAGGGTAAGAAAATTCAGAAAATTATTTCTTTTTTTCTCGGGACATTTCAAATCCTAGAGTAGTTTCATAGTTCGAGCCATAGATTCTGATAAGTTCTATCCTGTACTTTGTGACAGAGAGAGAGAGAGAGAGAGAGAGAGAGAGAGAGAGAGAGAGAGAGAGAGAGAGAGAGAGAGAGAGAGAGAGAGAGAGAGAGAGAACGGATTCTGTTTATTAATCCACTATTGTAACGACCTATTTTTTTCATGTCTGGAGTCGTATTTGGTATATAAAATCATCTCCACATATGTATATACCAGCAGTTCCCAACTTGCGCGTCGCGGAGCCTTAAAACAGGCAACTACCCAGGATCTCTACGACCGCTTCATAAAAATATTATCTAGTGTTGACAATATCATGTGTACTGTGGTAGCTGAGAAAAACGTTACTATTATGTACACTTCAAAGTTTAAAAAAAATATGCATGGACATTATGCAGCTGTTGAGACATCTATGTACTTTAAATTTCCCTAATATTTATTCCCTCTTCATTCTCTTCTTCTAAATACCATAATTTTGTAAGACGCGCTTAACGCTAAGTGTGCCTGACGGTAAAATTGATCCTAGAAAGAGCACCACAAGTCAAAATAGAATGAAACCACTGGTTTAGACTAATCAGCACTCGATGTACGAACGAAAAGATCAAGTGGTTAAATAATGTCAAACTCAGTGGTAATAATGAGGCTATATAGAACCTCCAGTGGTGAGAGGTACATTGTAAAATGGGACCACAATGTGGTTTGTGTATTTTGGTGGAGGAAGTTCATTTTTGGGAAACTATAATATGTTGGTGTAACCATATTAATGCACCTGACTAGGCCAGGTGATAAATAAATTGTTTAATGTGTTGCTTGTGTCCTCACAACGAGAAGATAATACAATGTATTTTGAATTATATTTTATAATCCGCAGGCCCAGAAACCACGATGAGATGTGCAATTTCTACATTATGTACACCACGTATCAACAGCGAAACCTTGAAGATATTATGTGCTTCCAGAAGTCAAACTCAGATACTTCACGTGATGTGTTCCCGCCAGACTCTGGTTCTTTGGATGGTATTCCGGGAGCAGATAAGGTCAAGAAGAAATTCAGGACTGCGGCAAGCTTGGGATAAATAAATAAATAAATAAATGAATAAATATATGGGGTTTCATACATCGATGCTTTTGTTTTGGAAATGGCTCTTTTGTCTTCCTCGCTGCAGTATGTTAACTCTTTTCATATGAAAAAGCACACTTCGTAAGAATAAAGTACACCTTTTTTGAGTGAACGTCGTTGTGTTTGAATAAAAGACAGTTCATATAAAAGACCCTTAATACAGGCAGAACACTTACAGTGGAAAAATGACACTTCATAAGATTAAAAGACACATCACAAGCGATAAACACCCGATGACACAATGTGCCACCATGTGGGTGAGGATCACCGTGGAGAGGTCCCAGAAACCGCGTCAAGCCTTAAGGCCATATTTATCGCCAGGCTATATTGCAGCCCCTGGCAAGAGCCAGAGTAGGGCTTCAAATAAACGAAAAATTCCATCCTAAAAAGGACGGGAAATAGATGTAATCGTCCCCAGTGAGCTTCTCTGCCTGAAGTCGTTGGCACAGTGTGGGATGTCAGGTTTGGCATACGCGCCAAACATTTGTCGAAAGCTTAGTCATATCAAACCGAAACTAAAACAAACAAAACTCTCAGCTATAAAATCAGCCTGTATATTCAGTATCTCAGAAACATATTCTTGTTTTGTTGAAGTTTTATCAGAACCAGACTCACCCGAAGAATGATATAATTCTAACAAAAAACCATTAGAAGACTAGCTGTAATCAAAACTCTGGATAGAACATACTGGGGAGGCGGTACAAAAACGTTAAGGCAGAAGGTAGGCTTATTATGGAACACGCCTCAATGTCATGGACTGAAACAGCGAAAATTAACTTGGGAAAATTATATCAGGCTCATAATGTAGGTTTACGAATAATAAACGAAGCAGTGAGAAACACCCTCCCAACTCCCGAAAAAAAAAAAAAAAAGTAAAGAGTAAGACAAAAATAAATAAAAGAAAGAATTCTCTGAACCCATTCGATTTCTTAGACAGTACAAAACTTTAAAAGCTTAAACGGCTTCCAAAACATCTGCTCTTGCAAAAGAAGCTTTCAAGCTATGATGTTTGACGCTCTCACACCAGAACTATTAATTAGCTGTCCAGACTTTTTCGGTACAGTTCTAGAAGTCTCATGGAATAATCTTCAAAATGAACAAACTGAGTCAGATCGAATAGTTCTTTTCCCCATATATACTCAGGAATCAGTATGTTTCCAATTTCTGTACATGTCTATGTGTACTCACATATGGTTTTTGCTAACCAAGCCACAAAAATAGAAGTGGATGAATCTATGAATCTATATTACACATCATAAGGGAAACACAGAAACATATTCAGTAGCGGCATGGCAAGCTGGCACCTCAGAGCAGAGGCAGCAACCATACTTTCAACTGTGCAATCTCAATAGTCAAGTTTACAGAGCTAGTTCAGCAGTGGATTCCAGCCCACTATGGTATTGCTAGCAATGGAAAGGCAGATGAGCTCAAAAAAGAGTACAAAGAACTTTGTATAGACCCATCTGTTTCATAGCTTTGAGATGCGAGACATTCGAATCGCTTTAGAGGTCCGGGGTAGTTAGTGTTCTTTGGATATTTCTCCAGGTCATGCAGGGCTGTTGGGAGTCGCCGTGGCGTTGGCGGCAAGACGCCCGTATGCGGATCGGAAGGGCATGGGATTACGTCCTGACAGCCGGACTTTTTCTTGTTCAAAAATGACCTTGACTTCCAGGTCGACTCAGCCTTGAGTAGGTACAAAATGCAGTCATTGGAAGTAAAGGCGGCCGGCGCGATGCTGACCACATCACCCACCAAGTGCCCATTCGCCTATAAAAATATAGGTCTAGCCCTATATTTCCAGTATACCTAAAGGCGTAGGAAAGGGACCTTTAAAACTCCATGTAGAGCTGTTGGGAAAGGAGCAGGCAGATAAACTGGCTGGTTCTGCACCACTCGGTGGTAAACTGATGTATGCGAAGCTAAATGTTGTAAACCCTCCTTTGGGGGCGACTGAACGGTGCGGATGCACAAATAGACCATTATGGTCAGAGAGAATGGCGCTGCGAGGAGTTACCAGTGGTCCGGCCGACGCTCACCACTCAAGGGAAAGGCGAGACGGATTTAAAATCACACTGTTAATGGTGCCATCGGAATTGGAATTCTGAAGATGGAGACGGAGCGCTTAGGGAAGTGTCCCGAGTGCTGTGAGGTCGATTCTTAATTGGTTCAACATTTAACATTCTTAAACTTCATATGAAGCTAAGTGGGAGAACATATCACCAGAGCATGCTGTTACCGTTAGACGTAGGAAGAAAGAAAATATTGCCATTGCATCATTATTTTCTCTTCTGTAACAGATGAAATATTGTGATAACTGAGGAGATTGATCGCAAGAGGGCAGGTGGAGAGGAAAGAGATAAATACCTTGATGGCTTGACCGCATACATGGGACGGGAACACAAGCACCGAACTTATCCATGATTCTGTTAATAGTGTAGGATGACGAATCATGACCGCCTATACTTATCGCTTGGTACTTGATTATGAAGATATTTTATGTTAGAGAGGCGGGAGTGCTGGGCGATTTTAATAATTAAAATGGTATGACCAACCAAAGAAGTGTTTAAAAAAAAACTGGTATAAACACTAAGCGGTTTGCCGTCGAATCGCCTGCAGCTAAATTGAGCACAGTATATTAATAAATAATAAAACTCCCCATGTGAGTTCTGGATCCCACTGTGGTGGGAAAAAAAATTGACCCACTGCTGACTGACTGACTTTCTACCCCACTAGGACATCACACAAGCGATAAACACCCGATGACACAAAGTGCCACCGTGCGGATGAGGATCGCCGTGGAGAGGTCCCAGAAACCGCGTTCAGACAATTGGCCATATTTATGCCCCTGGCAAAAGCCAGGGTGGGGTTTCAAATAACAAAAAATTTCGTCCCTAAAAGGACGAAATTGGAGTTTCCCGACCAGCGACCCACTGCCATCCTAACAAGCATCCGTAAACTAAAAGAAGACTAAAAAATTAGTAATTTAAAAGCCGGAATGCATCTGCCTGACAGGCAAAGAGCAAACAGTCTGTATACAAATAAGCCAGATCTGTAAAATAGATGCGCACGTAGAACTCAGGTGCTTCACAAGACCAAAGTCCAGAAGTTGACCCACAACATTAACTTCCTAATGGAGTTTACAGCCGGGGAGAAACAAGAAGAGTAAGATTACAAAACGGAATTCATAACTAGCAACCCATTACAGAAAATGACCATGGGAAGTAATTCTACTATAATTATGTTTCTGTCTGATATTTTTAGAGTACTGTACCCTGGGACCTGTAACAAGCACGTCGAAAATGTCAACAGAAAAAGATATTTTGATTGTCGAACCATTTAATGGAGGGTCGCATGGTCAGCTCATCAAACTGCTGCAATCAGATCATGACATTGGGCAAAGATGTCTTATTGTATCTCTCCCAGCAAAGAAGTGGCACTGGCGCGCACGAACGTCAGCGCTCGCCTTTAGCCAAACAATCCCATACTCCAGCAGCTACAGGTACATCAGTAGACCTGTATTTATTATTATTATATAATAATTAATATTACCTTGTTTTTGTGTGTGTGGCGAAGTGGCGGCTCCTCCTGCATCGGACAACTGCGAAACTGCAGTATGTATCATTCAATATTATCCATATCTTTCCGTAATTACGATCCCTCCCCATAGTACTGTATGTGCTAATATTATATTATAAGCAGCAAAAGGATCTCTCTTTTTCTGTCTGGAACACAAAACATGAAGCACTTGCCTGTCTCATAACAGATATCACCAAATAAACTTGGACTATCCTCCGAATAATTTTCCCAAATTATCGAGGCCGAAAATATACCCTAACAGGGCCTCAGTCACATGTAAATTGCGAACTAGCGCCACTATCGAGAGTATCTCCTGTGGCGCGGAGCTGGGCTAAACTAGATGGCTGAGACTCATGAGCAAATAAAATAAAGGAAGCTGCAGGAGATGCGGTAGCTGCTGCTTGTGAGTCCCAGCCATCTAGTTTAGCGGTGCGGGAGATACTCTCGGCGGTGGCAGAAGTCGCCAGAAGTCCATAATTTAAGTCGCTGGAAGCCCGCTATTTACATGTGGCTGAGGCCCTGTTAGGGTTTATTTTCGGCATAGATAATTTGGGACCGTTATTCGGAGGATAGTCCAAACTTGTCCCACCTGATTTTTGGGGGCACTATGAACATGCTCTTATCTATCTCAACAGTTGTATTGGTCCCTCCGATCATTGCAGGATTGACTAACCATTTGTTGGCACAAACCTTCCCTAGTAATTACTCCAGTCAGCAGCTGCTGTCACAGACATCCCCAACTGTAGCTGGTAAAATGAAATGCTTGTCAACTCTTGAGACCAGTAGTATACAAAAAAGAATGACCTGTCTGTCAAGCAGCCAGACGTGAGCCTTGCAGCCGCATGACTGAGTGGGATTGATGTTCTGCTGTCAGTTTGAATGTCTAGCATCTCCAATGATCCTGGCGTTCAGTTAGTAACAACACCGTGACATGATTATTCAAACAACATCTGGCAGAATGTAAGATGCCATGCTGCTGCTGCTGCAAAAAAAAAAAAAAAAAAAAGCAACGAATGCTTCTCTGCTTGACATTGACCAATGCTGGCTCAAGGAAATTTATGGCAAAGTAAGCACTGCTGCTTCCAAACAGGCACTTAGATACACAGTGATGACAAATAAAAGTAACTGAGATTCATAAGGAAATAATCACCGAAAACAACCAACGCATAACACCTCTAGAATAAGTGACTTTCCCAGGGATTCCTGGATTTCCTTTGTTAAAGGTGAGCTAAAATGAAAGTACGGAAACTCATTTCACAGCTCATTGTGTTTGGCTGTTGTGCGTGTGCACACATGTCTGAGATAGGAGGAAGCTGCACATGAGGTAGAGGGGCGCTGTTTAACACATTAATTTTATTAATATTTTCACGCAAAGTAAAACAAGGAGAGTAGATTTCATTTTTTATTGAATGGATCAGGTTTATGCTGTCGACAGTTAAGGCTGTTAATATGGAAATTGTTTTTTAAAACAATTTTGTCAACTTTATATATGCATTTCTTTTTTTTTAAGTTTTATTTTTTCACAATATAAAAAAAAATGACTGGCATTTTTTGTTCTGTAGCTGTGCCACTACCAATTCTAGCTACCAGCCAACACTGATATTTTTGTTTATAAACTTTTTTTTATGACCATGCAGCTCACAAAATATTCTTGTTTCCCCCCCACAGGGTTCTCTTCAGTAGTTCTGTGTTAAACTTAGCAGAACTGATTGCCCTTCGCCCTGACCTGGCCCAGTTAAAGAAGATTGTCTATTTTCATGAAAACCAGTTGGTGTACCCTGTTCGTAAGACGAAAGAGAGAGACTTCCAGTACGGCTATAACCAGATCTTGACAAGGTATTCAACTCAATAAAATAACAAAACCAACCATTTGTGTTACTTAGAACATTGGCGGTGGTCAGTTACAACCTTAGACTTTTGCTGTTCATAAGGGATACTTTATTTAATAAAATACAACACTAAATTCTACTCGGAAGATGGCCTTGTACTGATGGATCCATCATGCTGTTTTGTGTTTGGTTGTGAGTGCAATCTTCAACCCATTTCAGTCTGTGATAGTTAAGAACAGCCTATGATGTGTGTCTTAAATTTGTCACTGCATCCCATCAGCTTGTCCCTTGTTTGTGCTTTTCCATTATCATTATCAGACACTGTCTTCTCACTCGCCCTATATTGACTGAGATGGTCCATTGTCTGTCCACTCTTTCAGTGCTACTACATGTAATTATGACTTTCTACACTCAGCGAGACATAAGGAGATTGTTTTAATGTGTAAAACTAGTAGCCCAAGTATGCTGACAGTGCAAATATATTTGTTTTTGTGTGAGTACGGTGTGTGTGTGTGCATGCATGTGTGTGTGTGTGTGTGCATGCATGTGTGTGTGTATGTATGTGTGTGTGTTTTAAAAGAAATTATTGCAGTCTGTAGGATTAACATCTCAAGGATGAGAATAAAACTGGTAAGTTCCCAGAAAACCTGTTCAATCATAGAACCATATAACACAGTTATATTTGGGCACCACAAAATGGTTACGAAGCAACCTGTAGTCCAGTATGAGTTGGTGGATGTGAGAGTTTTGTCCATGCTTTTGTGTTTATACTTGTTACTGTTAAACTAATTTAACATGCTTTATACACAAATTGAAGTTTCTATGTGAAAGTTGAGTTTTTTAAGGGCCAAATGTAAGATGGGCTGTGTGCCCAATTTTAGACTCTTTGAGAATGATGTTGTTTCTTTGTTTATAGTGCACCTTTTTTTAGGGGAGTCTTGAGTTATGAGTTAGGGGTTGAATTATCTTCACAACACTCCGGACACGTCCATAGGTGTTCAGATTCCCCCTTCAATATATACATCAGCATTGCATGGTTAATATGCTAGTTCTGTGCTGTTTAATAAGACTTTGTGTATGTCTGATGTGCCTCTCATACTTTGCTGTGCCAGTCTTTACACCCAGTATTTGAATTCTTAGCACTGATGTGCACATGCTGCTCCCTGAATGCTTGGATCGTCCTATCTCTCTGAGGGCTTTAACATTGTCAGCACGATCCATAGGCTGGTTGTCTGCAACTAAGGCAGAACCAGGAGTCTATCAGCTCTTTCATTGCCAACAACACTTAAATATCCTGGAACAAAGATGAAGTCTTTGGGAGTCTATAAACATGCTTCAGAAAATTGCAATGGATAGTCTGCACTCTGATTGAGTAGGCAGCATTTTGAAATTGTTCTTCATCTTGCTCATATTGATTTATACCCCTGGGCATGCCAGAGTAAATGATAATGAACAACCAGACCAGCTGGCATTCATACATGCAGAAAGACACACAAAGAGAGCTGATGAAAGCAGTGCTTTGTGGACTAGGCAGGCTGTTGGATAATGAGGAGTTTCTGACACTGACCAGATTTTTTTTATCTAGAAGTGAAGCTTGGTAAAGCATGCCTTTGTATGCTATCTTCAAGGTCAAGACAGATTGCAAAATAATTTTTATTTTTTATGAAATATTCAGTAGAAGTATGTTGGAATGGCTATGGTATGGAAAAACTAAGCACAGATTGGAATGCCCATGTACATGTACAGAATGGTGATAGTAACTCTTTAGTATATACTTTTTGACTACAGTTTACTGAATGTGGAAAAACCCAAATAATGTGATTCATGTATTGAAAGACTTGGATATCTGGGATTTAGTTAACTGTTTTTACTGACTATTACGAAAATTGTTAAATTAAATTTTTTTTTTTCCAGTCTGGTGGCTGATGTAGTGGTATTCAACTCTACTTTCAATATGGAGTCATTTCTGTCATCCATTTCAAGACATTTGAAGCTAATACCGGACCACAGACCAAAGAATCTTGAAGCTGTTATACGCCCAAAGTGCAGAGTTCTCTACTTTCCAATCATCGTAAACCATACTTGTGATAATGGGATTCATTCTTTGGATGCAACAAACAGTGATATTCCTTCTGTTGATGCTACAAACAGTGATATTCAACCTGTTGATGCTACAAATAGAGATAATCATTCTGTTGATTCCACAAATAGAGAGATTAATTCTATTGATTCTACCAACAGAGATAGTCATTCTCTTGATTCTACAAACAAAGATATTAAATCCATTGATTCTTCAAACAGTGGTATTCAACTCATTGTTTCTACAAGCACAAATAGCCATTCTGGTAATCCTACGAATAGAGATATTTATTATGTTGATTCTGCAAACTTAGATATTCATTCTTGTAATCCTACAAACAGAGATATTCATTCTAATAAACATACAAATAGAGACATCCCTTGTGTTGATACCACACAAATTCGTGAAGAAAATGAGAAGTCCACAGAACAGTCTACAGGCTCACAAGAAGATGAAATGTTCAGTCAGATCTTACAAGGCTCTGATGAAAGTAGCTTCATTTCTGCACACATTCCTGAAAATAGTGACTTTTTCAGCAATGGGCAGTCAAATAAACTTCTGGATAAGACAAGAACAGTTAATAATGAATCCAGAAATATGAGCAACTGTGTTGG